GCTTTCTGTCTCTATGTCTCTCTCTGTCTGGCGAGCGCACGCGCCCTACAGTGAAAATCTCTCCAACCCCAGAAAAAAAAAAAAAAAAAAAAAAAAAGCAGAGACCAGGAGAAGATGTAGGCATTTGGATCCCAGAACCTGGGAGTGTGCGTGCGGCAGGCTGTTCCTCATGGTTTGGTCCCAGTATCCCAAAGCCCCTAGAGCCTGCACGTGGCTGGATCCTGAGAGGGTGGTGGAAGAGCCTTCCCAATCCTCCCTCGTATCCCGAGTGTTCTCACTGGACCTCACAGCTTTGCTATTGTCTATACTGTCCGGGTGTCGGGAAAGTCACGACACATTTTCTGTTTATGCGAAAATATGTCACGACTTTTCAGACAACCAGATATACCCTAGTGGCTCCCAGATGTGTGTTTCCAGCCCTCCCTGAAACTCCAGACCCACGTGGTCTGCTACGTCCACATTATCTTTGTGAAGTAGACATCTCACACTTAACATGTCCCAACTAAGTCACGTCTTCCTCCCCTGCGTCTCCTACTCAGGCCAGTTTTCATCCCCTTCGGTCTCTCCCAGCACAGATCCATTCTTTGTCAAATTCAAGATGAACTTCAGGTTACACCCGAAATCCAGCAACTTTTCACTGTCCCACTGCCTCGTTCCTGTTTGTCCCCTGCACAGCCTCCGGTCTGAAAGCCTTGCCACATTTGCTCTTTGTAAGTCAGGTCATGTCAGTTTTCTCCCAGAAACTCTCCAAGGCTTCTCTCGCCAGCCTGAAATCCAAAGTCCTTAAAGTGGCCTGGAAGATGCAGCATGATCTGAGCCATCCCATATCCCTGACCTTATCCCCCACATTCCTCTCGTGCACTTACGCTAAGGCCACAGGGACCCCTGCTCCTGTTTCCTTCACCCATCTCAGGGCCCCAGCAGTTGCTGTTCCCTCTGCCAAGGGTGCCCGTCTCCACACCCCCCCGGTTCTCTTCATTTCTCTACTCAGGTCCTTGCTCGAATGTCATTTCCTCAAGGAAGCCTTCACTGAAAATTCTGCACAAAAGAGCACCCCTCTCCCCACCATGACCCCCTTACTCGGCTTTTTCCTTCTGCAGTCCGCAGCCACACTGCTGACACGCCTTTCCCACTGTGTGTGTGTGACAAGTTGGCAGCGCTGTAGTTACAGCCATGATGAGAAGGGGAAGCCGTGATCTCTGAGAGGGAGGTCGAGGGAGGGGTGATTTTCCAGTTAATTCTCCCACTGGTGGCACAGAAGTCTCCTCCCCATGGCAGTTCTGCCTTTAAACCCCCTCCTTGGGATCCAGGCCTGGCCCGTGCCTTGGCACACGTCCATTCTGGAGGTCCACACAGGCACCCACCTTCAAGAGCCTCACCACCCCTGGCACATGCATTTGCTCCTTTCTGGCATGAGTAAGCTTTAAGGTGCCCTGTGTCCCCCCCTCATAAGGTGGTGGGGAATTTCCACTGGGCCTCTGTTCAGGTCAAGCAACAATGACCATAAATAGCTCTTCGACCTGTTCGAAGGGTAAGATCTCAAACAGTGGGTAAAGATTTCACGGGGGATCCTTGGAGAGCGGAGACTGCCCACCTACCCACCCCGAGACATGGTCCCTGTGGAGGCAGCACGAGAGTGTGGCTTTGGAACCTCACACCCCAAGGGAGAGGGAAGGATGTGGAGTCCTGGTGGGTCGGCGGCAGAGTGCCCCCACTCAGGAGCGAGCTCAGAGTGCCATCTCGGCTCACATCCTGAGGACCCCTCAAGCTGGCTTTCACTCAGCCCAGCTGTGTCTGTGCCACAGGGAGTGGGTAGAAGACACGCAGCTATGGATCCAGCAGGTATCCAGCACGCCCAGCACCAGGATGGACGTGGTGCACCTGCAGGAGCAGCTGGACCTGAAGCTGCAGCAGCGGCAAGCCAGGGAGACGGGCATCTGCCCGGTCCGCAGGGAGCTCTACTCCCAGTGCTTCGGTGAGCGCGGGTCAGAGGGCACGCCATGCCCTGCTGCCTCCTTCCTCCTTCAGGGCAGGTCTGAGCCAGAGCACCCTCAGCTGAGTCCTGCCCATCCTGGAATCATCCCTTCTTCCCCTCCCCCTCAGCATCCAGTCCCTGCATTCCTCACAATCAGACATCCTCACTCCTCAGACAAGAACTTTTAAACCTTCATGGGTTTTTTTTATTTTTTATTTTTATGATTTCTATAATCATATGCTAATATTTTAATTAGAAAAATTAACGTTCTATATTTATACCAGTCTATCAACATTCGGCCCTCGATCCAGAAAAATATTATTAGCCAGAAGGGATTTAGGGCCTACCTCCTCGAGGGCTGGTGTCAGCGAGCTGTCCCAGCCCAGCACTGGCCCCCTGTGGACTCCGGCCTGCAAACCAGATCCCTCAGGCAGCTGCAGGGTCAGCAGGCTCCACTCCAGTCAGTACTTATGGAGGAGACAGGAGGGCGAGCTCTGCACTGGCTGTTCCCAGCCCTAAACCAGTCCAGCCAGGGGCACCCAGGATTTCTACCTGCTTTGGAAAAGAGACTTCTTTGGGACCAGCAGTTAGCGTAATGGCTATGTCTCTGAACTCCCATGTTGTCCACTGCGGTTCGAGTCCCGGACCCAGTGGCTTAAACTGACGCCGGGCGCATGTGTGCATGTGTGCCAAAGATCCTGAGGAGAATGGAGAAGGGATTGCGGTGTGGTCATCCCCCCTGGGGGGGTGATTTCTTGCTTTCTATCTCTCTGTCTCTCTCTTAATGGTGAGCGCACACGCCCTATAGCAATAACCTCTCCAAAAAAAGAAAAAGAGACTTCTTTGAGCAGAACCCAGTTTCTGCCTGCAGTGGAAGGGCAGGATCCACTGCTGCACACCTGGGGACTCCTGTCTCCTGGCCCAGCCAGACCAGCCTGCTCCTCAGTGCCAAGTGCAGAGGAGAGGCTGCGTGGCAGTGTTCCATGGGCCCCTGAGGATTCTCCCGGGGGTCCTCTGAGGTTTTGTCTCAAAGTGAGGACACACCCTAGAGTCCCTCCCAGGAGGAAGGGGGCTGGCAATAGGCCTGGTGCCTGTCCCCTCCCGACCACTGTCTCTGATCTTACCGTGTATGCGCTCTGGAAGATGAGCTGATCCGGGAAGTCACCATCAACTGCGCAGAGAGGGGGCTGCTGCTGCTGCGAGTCCGGGATGAGATCCGCATGACCATTGCCGCCTACCAGACCCTGTATGAGAGCAGCGTGGCGTTTGGCATGAGGAAGGCCCTGCAGGCCGAACAGGGGAAGTCAGACATGGAGAGGAAAGTGAGTGGGGTTTGCCATGACACTTGGCCCTCTGTGACTCTCTGTCGACCTCAGGGCCACATGGTTGTCATTCTAGCCTGAAATTCTGGCCCTCAGGTTGCTCTCCCAACCATCCTGACCCTGGGAACCACATCAGTGAGGTGGAGCAAAGTGGCCAGCCTGGTGGTCCTGGCAGAGCAGCCTCTCCTCTGGACACGCCTTGCCAGTCTGGGACTTCCCACTGGGTGGCAGTACAGGCCCTAGCAATGTCGTGTTGGCCCCCGTGGCCCAAGTCCTCTCTGCCTAGACTCTCGGGCCACCAGGTCCACTTGGCAACGTCCCAGGATGACTGGGCATTCTGTCCTCAGATTGCAGAGTTGGAGACGGAGAAGAGAGATCTGGAGAGGCAAGTGAACGAGCAGAAGGCCAAGTGCGAGGCCACCGAGAAGCGCGAGACCGAGAGGCGGCAGGTGGAGGAGAAGAAGCACAACGAGGAGATTCAGTTCCTGAAGCGGACCAATCAGCAGCTGAAGGTGACCGGGGACAGGCGCCCGTGGGGTTGTGCGCTGTGGCCCCAGCCCTGCGGGCTCGGCGAGCGGGTCTTGTCCCACCAAGCGTCCAGATGCCCACACGTGCCACCCAACAGCGAAGGGGCTGAGAGCATGGGGTGAGGGTGTGTTGCCAGGTTCTCCATCCACCTGGCTCTGGAGCTAGGCCCTGTTCTCAACTGGGTCCCCATGAATCCTTGGCCTGGATCTCCAGTGGGTTTTGTTTTTGTTTTTAACGCTGGAGAAAAGGTGACCATCCTCAGGGAGAGGTGGATATGGCAAGAAGTGGAACTCCTGCCCCTCAGAGCTGGTATTTTGGAGCTTTCCTCAAATGGCTACATCCCAGCAGCCTTCACAGAAGTGTCCTCCCCTGACTGTCCCCTCCCATCAGAGGCTTGATGTTTGGGACAAAAGCAGGGGAGGCAGGATTGGCAGGCAGGCAGGGAAGGCCCGAGAACAGCAAGGACACCTTCACCTCAGCCCTCTGCGACATGTGATCAGAGCCACCCAGTGAAGGTGCTGTTCCTCAAAGCCCAAGGGCTGGTAGCATGCTTTCATTCATCTGAGGTGACAGGAGGGAGGGGGACTGGCGAAGAGTCACCAGAAGGCCATGCAACAGGCTTCTGCAACTCCAAGCTCTCTGATCCAAAGGTTCTCTAAGGTTGGGCCCCAGACCAGCATCAGCCTTATCACCTGTTATCTTAGAAATACAAAGTACTTGGGACCAGCAGTTAGCGTAATGGCTATGTCGCTGGACTCCCACGTAGTCGACCACGGTTCAAGTCCCAGACCCGATGGCTTAAACTCATGCCGGGCGCGTGTGCGTACGTGCCCAAGATCCTGAGAGGAGAATGGAGGAGAAGGGATTGCGGCGTGGCCATCCTCCCTGGGGGGTGATTTCCTGCTTTCTATCTCTCTGTCTCTCTCTGGCTGGCGAGCGCACGCGCCCTATAGCAAAAACCTCTCAAAAAAAAAAAAAAGAAATACAAAGTACTGGACCTGTTGAATCAGAAACTTTGGGGTTGGGGGTCCAGCTATTTGACGTAAAGGTCTCAGGTGACTAATGTTTGATCAAGTCTGTGAATCGTGCTCCTGGATACATGGCTTACTGATGCTCAGTGGCTTTTCCCCTTGCATGTATGTCCCTCCCCGCCCTAGTTTCTTAGAAAGCTAAAGAGATTTCCTCTTTTTTTTTTTTTGAGAGTGTTTTTTTTGCTATAGGGCGCGTGCGCTCACCAGACAGAGAGAGACAGAGAGACAGAAAGCGAGAAATCACCCCCTGGGGGGATGGCCACGCCGCAATCCCTTCTCCTCCATTCTCCTCTCGGGATCTTGGGCACGCATGCACACGCGCCCGGCGTGAGTTTATGCCACCGGGTCCGGGACTCATACCGCGGTCAACTGCGTGGGAGTCCAGCGACATAGCCATTACACCAACTGCTGCCCCCCCCTTATTTTTAATAAGTACTTTTTTATTTAATTTTATTTATTTATTCATTTATTCTTAATTTGAGCAGAGAAAGACACAGAGATAGAGGGAAACTAAGAAAGCAAGCCACCAGGTTCGGGACTCGAACCATGATCGGCCACGTGGGAATGTCCAGCACCTTAGCCACCATGCCACGTGCTGGTCCCCAAAACTGACTTATGGGCAGGCTTCTTGGCTCTACAATCCAAGACGACCAGCCATCTGCAATAAAGAAGGCTTTGCACTAACCGCTAATAGAGGATGACAGATTTTCTTATTGCTGAAAACTCTAACAGAAACAAGGCTAGGGATTTTCAGTCAGATGTGAACCTGCCCGCTCAGTGGCTCTGAAGCTGCTTTCCTAATCTGTCATATTGCTGTCATCAAACCTCAGTTCCTCGATCCTGCTTCATGTATTAGGAACAAGAGCAAAAGCCAAATACCTTCGCATCTAGCAGTTAAAAGCAACCTTGTAATCCCCAGGGTAAAGGATTCTGTAGAAGTGAGTTATTTTTATTGGCTCAGAGCCACACTGAAAAGAAAGCATGCCTGCAGTCCCCAGGATAGACCTACTTAAAGATCCGTCCCCAGACCAGGATAATAAATTATTTCACTGGCTGCTAGAGAGGTGGAGTAATTCCCAAGGGGCTTAAGCTTTACATCCAGAGGAACTGCTCCCTGCTCCGTGGTAGCAATTTTCTCTAATTGGGTGTCGAGTTGTCTTGGTGGCTGAAAAATGCTGTTTCTTAAACTTCTGGTCCCAGCAGAGCTCCCAGGATCCTAAACCAAAGAGCCAAATGTTGAACTCAGCAGCCATATTTAGGCCTGAAATCTGAGCCACGGAAAACAACTACTTCAACAACTGACTCAGTCTCCTTTTCAGTGTTCTAGATTGTACACTGAGCAGGGATTGTGTCAATACCAGAACGGCTCCGGTTTCTCCTAAAGTACCAAGATGTTTTGCTGAGCCAGAAACCAACAACCCTGGAGCTGGGCATGAAGGGCGAAGAGAACACTGAGCGGCCGTGTTTGCACTCTTCTTCCCCGAGACTTACCCTCTCAGCTCTGTCAGGCTGCAAGTTGGAATACTAATGGAGTTTGTTTCTGTTTTTCAGGCCCAACTGGAAGGCATCATTGCACCGAAGAAGTGATAACTTCCACGTGGGCCTCGGCTAACACCAATACCCCGTCATAAGCCCTTTGTAATAAAAAGCTAGTTTCCTGAGTGAACAAGCCAGACCCTCCCCTGATCACCACCTACATACCAGTCAGAAGCCACACTGGTGCCCTGTGTCATAGACACCTACGGTCGTCAGCCAGTCTCCTGGCTGGGCTATGGAAGGTGGTGTACCCTGAGGACAGTCTCTGGATGTGGCTTACCAGCCAAGCTTGGGATCTGCCCCTCGTTTTGTTCACAGTTCATCCTGTACCTCCACCGAGTCCTTCCTTAATGCTGTTTTCTCATCCCTACGCCAGTGCCTTTCCAGTAACTCCTCCCGGAGCCTTAGACTCAGGCCCTATCGCCTTATCCCCACCCGCCGAGTCAGCTGGCCCTTAGTTTCAGACTGCCCAGGTTAGGAAACCCATGGCTTTGGACGAAGTAAATGCTGCTGGAAAGGAAGACAAGTCTGTCCTCTGTGGGCCGTTTACACCTCAGCTCCTCCTTCACCAGAACTGTTAGCCAGTCATTTTGCAGAAAATCAAATCCTGACCCTCTATCCCCATTAATTCGTAAATCTCACATGCAGTCCTAGTTACTAACACTCAGGCCATGGCCCGTAGTCAACCACAACTTATTCCTCCTCTTCAGTTGGACTGGAGTCTGGAGGCCAGAAGACTCTTCCGTTCAGGGCAGCCCAGGGTGGGCTCGGGGGCCAGCAGGATGTCTCCACCACTCAGTTGAGGTTCACCTGTTTGATGTTAGTTCCCCGAGAAGGCATGGACATTTCCTCAGCTGGACTGCCTCAGTGCTGTGTTCCCCTGAAGAGGCCCAAGAAGGCACTCGATCCTCAACAGAGCTCGCCCTGGAGGTTGGGGCCTCCAGGCTCTCCAGAACTACAATCCCACAAGAGCTGGCCCCCAACTGAGCGTGCCCCACAGGCTCTCAAGTCCAAAGTCAAGCTTTTGCCCTAACCTGGCATCCTGTGAGCTGTAAGACTCCCCTCTGACCCGCCTGCACGTCATGTTCACGGGAAAGAACCTCTGCTCACTGAGATCTGCTACTTCCATGATGTTCAGCTGTAAGGCGTGTCCCAGGGTCCACGTCACAGGCTCAATGAGGAACAAAAGTTGCTGTCGCCATTTCTTCATATCTTAATGCCTTAAAAACTTTTTCACTTTCTTCTTTTTTTAAAATCACTCATAAAGCACTCATTTAGATCTGTTCATAACACTGCTTTATCAGCCCCTAAAGTTTGTCTACTTTCATAGGCTATCTGCATTTTCTTACTTTACAGACGTAACTGATTTATACACCAGAAGCTGAATGTATAGTTTTGCCTATTAGGCTACTTAACAGGGTTTTTTTTGAAATTTTCTTTGAGTTCTATATGCTTCTGTTCAAAACTGCTAATTAGCAATTATACCGTACAAGGGAAATAACTTGTCACGTGTGCATAACACACTTGTTGGATACGTGTGTAACAGACCTGTCGGATGTGTAACAGGGCCGCCCTCAGGAAGAAGTGAGGGCGAACTGAAGCACCTGAAAGTGCCAATGGGTCCCAGCACGGAAACCATCAAGCACAGACTCTTCTCATTCGCAGTAGGGAATGGCTTCAACTGTCACCTCAGAACAAGTGCACGATGGCCCTAGAAATGCCACCCGGCTTAAGCAAGAGGAACACAAATTTTATTAGCACATTTTTATATTAATTTAATAAACACCTTGTTAAATGTTACTGCTTATGCTTGAATTTTTTGTGTTTGTGTTTCTGTCCCTCTGAGTCGCTGGTCTTCTTCTTGTTCCTGTTCCTATTCTTCACATTGTGGGTTTCATAGTAGCGTACACCAACTTTTTTGGACTGTTGCTTCCGTGCTGCTCGCCTCCGCTGTTTAAAAAAAAGCAAAGGAAAGAAAAACCCGATCAGACACTGAGTGTCATCCAGCAGGGACCTTCTCATCTCTGCACTATTTTCCACGCTGCTTCCACAGCTACCAGGGAAGTGCTGGCACGGGCGGCTGCCCTCATAGACCTTCTGCTCTTCCACCCTGACTTGTGGCAACTCAGCTGCAGGTTCTCATGTGGGGCATGCCTCTTCCGAGGGCTGAGCCCTTCCTGTCGCATTCCTGACAAGTGGCCCCTGGAGAAAGGCTGAACACCCCTGACAACAAACTGGTCCCCTCCCAGGAGGGCCTGCACCAGCTCCAACAGCTCAGGTCCACAGCTGGACGACAGTGACAGGAGCTCCTATGACATGAGGAAAGAACCCAAGCACCTTCATCCAGTGGATCCTGACTAGGTAGCTGAGGCCAGGGTTTCCTGGGATTTGGCTCTAGATCATTAGTTTCAGAAAGAGTGGGCTGTGAGAACTGGGTTCTCCTCTATGTTCTGTACCTCAGTCATTCCTAAGAGCCAAACACTTACTTCCTTAGATGTAAGCGTCCTGCGAGTTTTATTTGAATGTTCCTCGTCTCTCTGGGCTTTCCGCTTCTTTCCCTTCTTGGTAGGTGCTGGACACACACAATGCATGAACACACACACAGAGAAAAACAGGAATTATCTATTTAAGTTTCATTTGCAAACCCCACACCAGGAAAGAGCCAGGTGTATCGGAGAAGTACGATGGCCAGCGTGGACGGAATGAGTGAGGGAAGCAGACAGAATTAACAGGATGAGGCTAGGAGGGCACTAGGACAGGACAGCCTTTGCAGGATACACCAGGGTTTGCATTTATGTCATGACAACATGCTCCTTCTTTTTCCTTTTTAAAGAGATTTCTTTTTTGAGAGGTTTTTGCTATAGGGCGCCTGCGCTCACCAGCTCACCAGAAAGAGAGAGACAGAGAGAAAGAAAGTGAGAAATCACCCCCCAGGGGGATGGCCACGCTACAATCCCTTCTCCTCCATTCTCCTCTCGGGATCTTGGGCACACACGCACAAGTGCCCAGCGTGAGTTTAAGCCACGGGGTCTGGGACTTGAACCACAGTCGACTACATGGGGAGTCCAGCGACATAGCCATTACGCTAACTGCTGGTCCCAAGAGATTTTTGCTATAGAGTGCGTGTGCTCACTAGAAAGCCAGAGACACAGAGAGAGAGAGAAAGCAAGAAATCACCCCCCAAGGGCGATGGCCATGCCACAATCCCTTCTCCTCCATTTCCTCTCGGGAATTTGGGCATGGACACACACGCGCCCAGCGGAAAACATGCTCTCAATATGGATGAAAGCTATTGGTCAAGTAAGAGTCGAGAACAAATAAGTGAAACCCCCCCACCTCAATTTGTCTGCAGATCCACCCTTAGCTCTAAGGTAAATAATGTACCCATTTTAAGAAGTAGTGGGTCAGCTGATGGCATGGTGGTTAAGGCAGCTGGACCCCACAATGCTGGCTATGCGGTTTGAGTACTGAATCCAGCAACTTGAGAAACACACCAGGCATGTGTGCATGCACATGTGCCCAAAATCTGAATGGAGAAGGGATTATGGAATGACCATGCTCCACAGGGTATGGGGCTTCTTTCTTTGCTGAGAACACACACCCTCTGGCAAGTTAAAAAAGATAAAGTAGTTTCCTGACTTATGAATCAATTCCTAAGGAATGTGCACAATGAAAAGTAGACTATCCAGCCTGTCCATTAATCAGAATGTGGAACCAGGGTAACCTGCCAGATACAGTCGTTATCTGTGTGGAGAACTATAGGGAAGATAATTTGGAGATTAAATTTAGGTTTCCCAAAGTTGCAGAAATGCGAAACACAGCTAAATAATTTCTCTGGGGCCAGCAGGTGGTGTGGCAGTTTAGGGTGCTGGACTCCCACATGGCCGACTATGGTTCAAGTCCCAGACCTGGCAGCTTGCTTTCTTACCTACCCTCTCTCTCTCACTGTCACTCTCTGCTCAAATTAAAATAGATAAATAAATGAAGTTAAATAAAATTCTTCTTTAAAAAAAAAATACTGGGGCCAGCAGGTGAAGTGCTGGTTAAGGTGCTGGACACTCCCACATGGCTGAACACAGTTCGAGTCCCGGACCTGGTGGTTTGCTTTCTCTCTTTGTGTGTGTGATCAAATTAAAATAAAATGAATAAAAAATAAATATAAATAAATAATAAATAAATAATTTCCCTTCACCTGTATCCTCTATGTCTTCTTCAGGAGCTTTTCTTTGTTCTTCAGATTGTGCAAAGACCTTTTCACTTAGGCCCTTGCATATTCTGAAACAAGAAAGCAGAGAAATGAAGTGGCCCGATATTCCCTCACACTGGTCAAAGCACAGCAGACTTGCAAACCCACCCATTTACACAGAGTCACCAGCAGGGGGTGCTGACATGGGACAGTGTCTGAAAGACCGTGACCAGACCTCTCGACTTTGGGTAGCTGAGTTTCACAAAATGTACAGACGGCTTTGTAAAATGGCAACAGCCCCTGCCTCCCTAAAACGCCGCCAATACTCCAGTAGTTTCTAGGAAAGGCAGACATAAACTGCAGTTCTTGAGATGAAAGTGTTTACCTGACTGCCGAGAACTTTTTGGCTTTGGCCTTGTTTAAAAACTTCTGGTATTTAGCAATCTTTTCGTCTAGGGCTTTAATCACAGCTTTGGTGTCGTTTTGCACATGTTCTTCCTGGAACTCCTGGTCAGACTCTTCCTCGATCTCCTCTGGCAGCTCCTGCTCCTCCTCCTCTTCAGCAGAAAAGCCCTCGAGCTCCTCTTCGCTATCTGACACCTCCACAGGAACTAGGTCATCCCCAGAAAACTGGGGCACGACGTTGATTTTGCCAAAGTTCTGCCGAACCCGCGCAAGAATCTGCTGCATCTCGGAGTCTGCGCTGCAGTGACTGGGCTCTTCTTGTCCTTTCTCGGCAACAGAGTCTGGCCCTTCACCTCCAGTTTCTGGGATTCCCTCCTCCACACTGGTCTGTGCTGTTTCCATGGCAACTTCCGAGGATGAGGAGGACGGAAGCTATTGAGGACAAAAGGGATTGGGTCAGGGGCAAGACGTGGAATCCAAATGAAAACAGAATTTCTTTTTTTTTTTTGGAGAGATTTTCACTGTAGGGCGCGTGCGCTCGCCAGACAGACAGAGAGAGACATAGAGACAGAAAGCGAGAAATCACCCCCCAGGGGGGATGGTCACGCCGCAATCCCTTCTCCTCCATTCTCCTCTCGGGATCTTGGGCACGCACGCACACGCGCCCGGCGTGAGTTTTAAGCCACCGGGTCTGGGACATGAACCGCGGTCGACTACATGGGAGTCCAGCGACATAGCCATTACGCTAACTGCTGGTTCCCATGAAAACGGAATTTCTGAATTCAACCTTGCTCCTAAAGTTCTCTTCTCAAGACTAAGGGCAGGTTGGACACACCCGCATGTGAGTGCCATCATTAATCTATCCCAAGCCAGTACACGTTAAAGGATCAAAGGAAGGGACGCAACAGGGCTGGGTGTGGGCTGAAGACTGGAGTGAGGGAGATAGAGGCCCGGCCTGGGGGAACCCTTAACCCTGGAGAAAAAACAAAAAGAGCAAAGGAGTAATCTGTGGTTCCCAAAGTAGAGCTTAGCATTAAAAGGCAATCGCTGCTTTAGCCCGGGAAGGTCAAGTCCTGGACCGTGCAGTCTCCGCGGGCTGCTGGGATAGCACCTTCTAAAGACGCGAGCAGGCTGGACAGCCAGGATTACAGTACTGGTTTAGAAAGCGACAGCTAAGGTAGGGGGCAATCTTTTTGTCCATTCCAGGAGGTGCTATGGTCTGAGTGTGTAGAAACTCGATCCCAAGTGCCTTAGTGTTGGAAGTGGGGCCTGACAGGGCGATTACAGAATGGATTACTGTCATTATCGTGAGAGTGGGTGAGTACAGCTGAGGGAGGGTTTGTCACAGACAAGTGCACAAGTCTGATGCTGTCTGCCCACCCATTCTCTCTCACCCTTCTACCTCTTCCAGCGGACCACACAGCACAAAGGCCCTTCCCAGACGGAGCGCCCTGATCCTGCACCTCCCAGCCCCCAAGCTATGAGCCAAATAAGCTTCCGCTCATCATGGGCGACCGGCCTGGGGCATTCTGTGATGACTAAGACAAGAGGCATCTTAAAGAAGGGACAACATAAGGAGAACTGGGTGGTGGGGGAGCTCACAATAAATACTCAGCTTCAGGGTACTGAAATGACTCGCTGGGGCCCAGAAGGTATGCCGTGGTTAAGGCAGCTGGATCCCACAGAGCTGACTGCACAGTTCAAGTCCTGGATCTGGCAGCTGAAAAACATGCAGGGTGCATATACGTGTGCGCCCAAAATTCTAAAAGGAGAGAGGAAATGGAGAGGGGGCTGCAGCTGTGACTGTCCCCGTAGGGGATGCTTTCTCTTTCTCTCTCTCTCTCTCTCTCTCTCTCTCTCTCTCTGACTTTGCATGCACTCTGGGTAATTTTTTTCTTTCTTTTAGAAGAGGTTTTTGCCTCAGAGTACATGTGCTTGCCAAAGAGACACAGAGAGAGAGAAAGTGAGAAATCATCCCTTAGGGGGCATGGCCAAACCACAATCCCTTCTCCTCCCCTCCATTCCCCTTCCAAATCTTACACACACACAAACCCAACATGAGTTTCAAGCCACCGAGTCCAGGACTTGAACCATGGTGGGCCATGTAGGAGTCCAGTAACAGACCGCTATGCCGCCTGCTGGCCCTACACAAAAATCTTTTTAAAAAATCATGCTTAGCAAACTTCCTTACACCCCACGGGACGTGCTGAGAGTCCCTACACCAGGCCCTCGGCAGCTCTTCCATTCAGCTGCTCCCGACTTCCACCCTTCATATGAGACTGAGAATCACAAATGAAGTCCTTCTCTGAGTTCTTTGAGTCTTTCTAGGAAATTATGAAACCCCGAATCCCTGAATCTGCAGCTGCTGGCCAAGCGCAGGTGTGGGAGCCGAGATCACCCTCCCCCATCACAGCCGGCATCCGAGCCTGGGGTCTTAGCAGTGGGGTCTGCGCTAACTCCAGGAAGCAGTGTCAGAAACTAGACGAACTGTAAGACGCATGTCTGGTGTCAGACAAAGCACATTCTGGCTCTGGGCAGGATGTCGGAAAAGGTGGCCGGGACGCGTTCACTCTCACCACAGTGCTCCAGTGCCCAGCACAGTGCCTGCCATGGAGATGCTCCGTACACGTCTGCTGGATGGATATACCCAAAACAGCAACGTACACAGAAGAGGAAGAGGAAGCTGCTTCTTTGTTTGGCTGGTGGTTTTGAAGGAAGAGGGGAGAAAGTCTGTTAGCAGCATCAAGCATGCCAGAGAGAATCTGATGGAAAATATCCAGCTGCAACTGCCAACTCTGGACCGGTGCTGAGGCAGGAGGAAGCCAGAGCCGTGGAGACCCACCCGACACCAGGACAAAAGCAAACCCTGAGCCACGTGTCCCAGTCCTGGCTGAGATCGAGAAAGGTCCTAGAAACAGCAGAGCAGAGAGCCAGGTCGAGCCTGTGATAGTCCACAGCCACGTAAAGGGACACAAGACAGCGGGGAGCTTCTTGGCCAGCCAGAGGCCCAAACCTGAGGCCGCTCTCCCTGCGTACCCATCATACCACTCTCCTCTCCCACTTGAGGGCAAGGGCGGTTCCGCAGCCCTTTGCCCTGTGCCTGGCACATGGCTGCTTCTAAGCGTAAGACAGAGCTGCCAGAAGGTCACTCACATTTAACGAGCCCCTTCTCCAAGACCCTGAAGACCTGGATTAAGCCTACTCTCCATCACGCCTCAACTTACTCATCTCCAAATGCCACCCCAATGAGGTCACAGCAGTCACACTGTGGGACAGGAAGGGAAATGGTGCTCCAGAAGAGGGAGGTGAGCAGGTCACGCCACGTCTGGGTGGACAGCCACGCTCCCTGGGAGGTGGCCTAGCCTGCCCTTACCTGGGGGGCCACAGGCAGCTCCACATTGGGCGGCTTCACGAAGAAAGGGATCCGGCCTCGCTGCCAGTCATTGAGGACCATCTTGCCCACGGTCTGCACATCGGGTTCGCCACCCTGCAGTGTTGGGAACATGTCGGTTGTCCCAGCAGCTCATCACACTGCTCATGTGACGCATGCAGAAAGGCCACATCGCACGTGCTCACGCACGCACCCGCAGCGCACACCCGCTGAAGCCCTGCGGACCCCGGCTCACCTTCAGTAACTTCCCCGTCCGGTGAGCCAGCTTCTCCAGGAAGTCCTCGGCGCTCTCCCAGGAGTCGATCTTGTATGTCTTGCTGATATACTCGGGCTTTGCTCGTTCAAGCACAGCGCTGATGTGGTCTTCGGGAGTCTTAATTTTTTCCACTTGAACCTAGATGTTGACGGGGAATCTCTTGCTTATGGCCATTTTTGTGGGAGCAGGGAAGTTGCTGGCGTTCTTTGCGGCTCCATTAAATGGATTCCACATCGCAAGGCAGTGGAGCCGGACAGGAGCCTGTTTCCAAGATGGCCAGACACGGCCAGCTGCACAGAGCTCCTCTGAGAGCCGACCACAGCCACAGAGGCCAGAGCGTGGCCCTAATCCCAGCTCACCACAAACCCACTATGTGGCTTCCGCAAGCAGTTTAGACTTGGACTGCTGCATGTTACACATGTGCAGAAACGGTTAAAGGACTGCCAATCCCAGGCCCGGGAACAGAGTGGTTTCAGAAAGGAGGGGAGGAATGTGCACAGGACGTATAGCCAGAAGCGTGGTCGAGGGTAAGTGGAACCATTTCAAGTCTTCAGTCGTCTTCAGAAAAAAGTGAGGAAATGACTGGGTTCCAAAATGACTCAACCCATAAACCCACGAAGATGAATTACCACTAAGCATAAACAGCCCGCTTCCCTCTGGATCCTGTGTGTCAACTACAGACTCTTCTGCGGGATGACATTGACCAGACAGCCCATGGTTCCACTGACTCCTCACACAGGCTTCAGTGGGAGGGACAGGCTGCCCTGAAAGGCGGGCTGACCCCCAACTGCCTTCTGAATGAGTAAAAAGCAAAGGGAGCCAGGATTCCCCCAAAAGGCAGGCGGAGCGCCTACAGGGCCAAACACTCACAACTCCCTTCAGCACGATGTCCGTCTCCGAGTCCTCAGAGGGGTAAACCACACCGGGACAGTCGATCAGGAAGATCCGCCGCATCAGCGTGATGTACTGCCAGACCTGAAGGTGGAAGTCAGGGGCACCCCTGGGGCAGACACGCTCGCGCCCCATTTCACAGCCCCCCACACCCGTGTGTGAGTTAGAAAGGAGGAACAGGAAGTCCAAGGCAAGTCACCTGCTGAGTAATTAAGACACGCACTCCCCCCCACTACCACACACAAGCCACTTCCACTAGGTATGAACCAGCCTCTCCATCAACTCAGAGTCTGAAACAGAGGCAGGACTCCCTTCCAGTGCCGCACAGCAATACCAGCGGCCCGTTCCCCGAGCTTTAGAAGTGTTCCTGGCAGCTCGGCACTGTCTGGCCTCTTAGCCTTTAAGCAGACCACACTGCTCCCTCTGTGTTGCGGTACAGGACCCCCTGCCGTCTGAGTCTACTCTACGCGGAGGTCTCCTTCGGAACCCAGGTATGGAATATTCCTGGGTTAGTCCTGTTCATCAAAGTAAAAGGCAAGTGTGACGATGTAGGACAGACGGAGACGTAAATGTCACCAGCCATGGCACGCCAAAGCCACACATGGCACACGCAGTACTGGGCCCCACCCATCGGGCAGGGACAGCTCCAGCACGCCCGTTACATACGAAGCAGGCCACGCCCAGGGGTGACCCTCACTCGGCCCACCCAATCGGGCAGGGACAGCCCCGGTGTGTCCCGTTACATACGAAGCAAATCACGCCCAGCGGTGGCCCTCGCTCAGCAGAAACAGAAATCTCCGTGCCCTAAACAGTCACTCCCCCCATGGAGAGAAAAGACGAGGACTCAGACCCCATCAGTGAGACGTACCTTTGTCTCACCGGCAATGGGGGCCACGTTGCACACTTTCTTGGAACGCAACGTGTTTATCACAGAGCTCTTGCCGACGTTCGGATAGCCAATAAACCCGACGCTGATCTGCTTCTTGTCAGTGTGCAACTGTCAGAGAGAGAACGTATACCACATACATGCAGTCGTGAGGCCCCGTGGACAGTGTGCTCCGGTGCTGGGACCAAGAGCACAGTGCCCAACGGCGGGAGCCACAGGAGCTGACACTCAGACACACGCCACCCACAAAGGCTGCGGGAGTAGGAGACACTGACTCATTAGCAACTCAGAGGCAAGTCACTTCCTCGGTCACCCGTGTAAAATCAGCCTTCAACGTTTTGAGGTTACAAGTATGTAGGTCACGAAACAGAAGAAACAGCTTGCTAGTCATCAATTTCGGACAATACCATCCACTGGTGAAGTCTTCACAGACAAGAGAACCTTAACAGATTCACCACGGACAACCCCATGACCCTTCTCCTCCCATATTTTCTTGCATTTTCATTGCCAAAAAGAACCACCTATTTAAAAAAAAAAAAGGGCAACCTAAAAAGTTAGACATGGGGTGAAAGACTCAAGGAGGCAGAGTTCAGTTCGTTACTATGGATGGAGCCCTGCACGGACCGGAGCTTCTGATTAGGGCAGGATGACAGGCAGGCTACCGCTCCCTCCTGCCCCAAACTCCACTAGGATGACAGCCAACAAAACCAGCCACACCAACTGCGCAAGAAGAGGAAAGTGAGACAATGAAAATCACGTGATGTTAACAAAATATCAGAAGCTAAAACATAATATCTAGAGCCAGTCGCGTGATGGTTAAGGCAGCTGGATCCCACATGTTGACTGTGTGGTTCGAGTCTCGGACCTGGTAGCTTGAGAAACGTGCTGGGCGCATGTGCATGTGTACCCAGAACCCCAAGAGGAGGGAGAAATGAAGAAGGGATTGCAGCATGACCATCCCACACAGGGGATGCTTTCTCTCTGCCAGGCACACATGTTTTTTCGCAAAATTAAAAACAGCAGGACCTGCAGTTGGCGTAACGGCTATGTCGCTAGACTCCCATATAGTCGACTGTGGTTCAAGTCCCGGGCCTGGTGACTTAAACTCAAGCCCAGCACATGGGCATGTGTATCCAAGATCCCAAGAGGAGAATGAATGGACCATCCTCCCTGGGGGGTGATTTCTCACTTTCTGTCTCTCTGCCTCTGTCTTTCTGGTGAGCGCATGCACCCGCCTATAGCAAAAAGCCTCTCAAAATAGAGAGACAAGAAAAAAAAAAAAAAAAAAAAACAAGGACTGGGTCACTGGGAACGTCATGTGTTTTTTTATGCGAAACTGTAAGATGACTTTTCCGACCACCCGATAGTATCTAATGTGGCCCATGAAAAAATATGAGAGCTAAGTGACTGCAAAGGCAGAAAAACCCGAAGTCCAGTGTTATTAGTGCCAGTTACGTACAGAAAGCTGCAGGACTCGGCGCGGAGTCCCTCTACGGACAGCACCTTCCGCTACACGGCTGCTGAGTGTATGAAGCCCGCCCTCCCTCCCGCCACCTCGACACAGTACACAACTGCTTTGCTCCAACAGACGCCCAGACAGAGCCTCAGGAGATGATGACTTCTTAAAACCCTCCACGATTGAAAATAGCTTTAATTTTCACATCTTAAGGGAGTCCAGAGTGCGAGAGTACAGTAACCAAAGGCAAGAGTTCCCATGGAGAGTCTCCGCGTCAAATGGGGAGCCCTCTCGTCCTGCACTCCTACTGAGGTCCCAGTCTCCTGGATTCCCGGCTCAGGCAGGCCCGGAGCTAGAGACTGGAAGTCTTTTCCAAGGAAGCCCATGAGCTTACAAAACTCTACAGACGCTGACGTTCCTAGGGAGCCCTACCCAATCACCCTACAATGAAGTCTATCAGTCAAAAAGTCTACCCACGCCGGGATCATCAGATACACAGCATAATGGTTATGTTGCTGAACTCCCACATGGTCGTGGTTTGAGTCCTGGACCTGGCAGTTTAAAATTCACGCCGGGCGTGTGTGTGTGTGTGTGTGTGTGTGTGTGTGTGCGCGTGTGTGTGTGTGCATGCCCAAGATCCAGAGAGGAGAAAGGAGGAAAAGGGGTTGGGACGTGGCCATTCCCACTGAGGAGGTGATTTCTTGCTTTCTGTCTCTGTCTCTCCAGTGAGTGCACATACCCTAGAGCAAAAATCTCTCTTAAAAAAAAAAAAAAAAAGAGGGAACCAGCAGTTAGCGTAATGGCTATGTCACTGGATTCCCACGTAGTCGACCGCGGTTCGCGTCCCGGACCCGGTGGCTTAAAACTCAAGCTGGGCACGTGTGCGTGCGTGCCCAAGATCCCGAGAGGAGAATGGAGAAGGGACTGCGGTGTGACCATCCCCCCTGGGGGGTGATTTCTCGCTTTCTGTCTCTCTGTCTCTGTCTGTCTGGCGAGCACACGTGCCCTATAGCGAAAATCTATCCAAAAAAAGAAAAGAAGTCTACCCATGCCAGGAAAAAAACTATTAGCCTTTCAGTGCCTGACTTATATACAACTGGAGAAGCAAGAATAACCAGACATTTGAAATATGACTCTAACAAAAAAGACAGAAACAAACTTCATGGTAACAGTCAATGCAGTGAGAAAAGAACTTCCAGATACCCATCATCCTTAACATTCTCAGAAAGACAAAGACAATATTATATCCATGGAACAAGATAGAAGGAAGTGGGTTAAATTGGTTAACAAGAGCTCTTAGAAATTAAAAATGTAGGGACCAGCAGTTGGCGTAATGGCTATGTCGCTGAACTCCCATGTAATTGACCACGGTTTGAGTCCCGGACCTGGTGGCTTAAACTCACGCCGGGCGCGTGTGCGTGTGTGCCCAAGATCACGAGAGGAGAATGGAGCAGAAGGGACTGCGGCATGGCCAGTCCACCCGGGGGTGATTTCTCATTTTCTGTCTCTCTCTCTCTTTCTGGCGAACGTATGCACCCTCTAGCAAACACCTTGCCAAAAAAAAAGAAAAAAAGGAATTAAAAATGTAAAGTAGCAGGCAGGACCAGCTCCATGGCACAGTGGGAAGGTGCTCTCAGAGAAGTCGAACCCCACATGACAATGGTGGCTCAAATACCCAGTCTGGGCAGCCTGACACATGCAGGGCATGGGCGGAGGGTACCCCGGAGCCAGTGAACTAGGGGGCTGGGGGGATGACACTGTGGTGTGACCAGATCTCATCGGAGTGCTGCCCCCACTCCTCACTCTCAGATGTACACTTATCATGAATAATAAAAAAATGAATTTAAAAAAAATTTAAGTGACAACCAAAATAGATTTCCTGACAAAACAATTGGATAAATCTGTCAAATACAGCAGTTAGCGTAATGGCTATGTTGTTGGACTCCCACGTAGTCGACTGCGGTTTGCGTCCCGGACCCAGTGGCTTAAAACTCACACCGGGCACATGTGTGTGCGTGCCCAAGATCCCGAGAGGAGAATAGAGGAGAAGGGACTGCGGCGTGACCATCCCCCCTGGGGAGTGATTTCTCACTTTCTGTCTCTATGTCTCTGTCTGTCTGGCGAGCGCATGTGCCGTATAGTGAAAATCTCTCCAAAAATAAATAAATAAATAAATAAACTGCCCAGAAAATAGAGCAAAATGTTGTTATGTTCTGAAATAAAGAAAAGATGAAAAAAAAGTTAAAAGATAAGAATTAAACTGGGAGGTAGGAGTCAGGGAACCAAGAAATAATGTGAAAGAAAGTTACAGAAACTGAAAAGTCAAAAGCGTTTGCTTCTGGAAAGGGTGATCAGGAGACACATGTCGTCCTTTGGAGAAGCCAGGCAGAACTCATCGGATACACAAGTATAAAATTATAGGTGCAGAACGTGAAGTGCTGAACACATCTGACGGGGTGACGTGGTCTCAAGGCTTCCCTGAGGAGCAGACATCTGAACAGGAATCTAAGCTTGAGCTCTGGCAGGGCCCTTTCCAGGGAGGGGACAGAAAGTGCACAGGCCCTGAGGGCAAGGACACTCGCAGGCCTAGGAAGGCCAGGGTGGGGAGCAGACAGCAGGAGAAGGGGCTTGTTCACGAGCAGAGGCTGGACCATCAGGAGTAAGGGATACGGCAAAAACAAAGTGACACTGGTCAGGGACGGGGTCAAAGGTGGAGCGAGAAAGTACTTCAGAACCCTTTATAGTCCCAAAGCTCTGTGAGTTTCTTCATCTCCAGAACACACACCGAGATGTGGAAAAGTAGTTGGTAGCGCGCGCACACACACACACACACACACACACACACACATTTTCTCATTATTTATGCCAAAATGTGTGCACATGCATGGTAGAGACAGAGAGCCCCACCAAGCAGCTAGGGCCTGGAAACACTGCAATCCTTTTCCCTCCAAATCTCCACCCATCAGGATCCTGGGCACGTGCACATGCACCTGACATGTTTCACAGTCCTGGCTGACACGTGGGATCCAGTTACCCCCGTCCAGTGCCTAACTGCTACACTGTGGGGCCAGCCTTGAAGCTGGTAACTTTCTGATGCGCAGTGACAAGAGATACCCTTACGGAAACCACAACTCGAGAGGAAGCAGATGGGGTCTCAGTACCTTTCCGAACTGCCGCAGAAGCTGGATAAATGCTCCTTTGCCAAAGGGGTTAGTCAGACTTGCGTGGAAAGCAAGTGTGGGGTAATCCTGGGAGAGGACAGCAACCCATCGTTTCTAAGACGGGAAAGGAAGAAGAGGCTGGTGAGCTGTAATCTGTTTATGCACCATGTGCGGCATCATCAGAGCTTGAATTACAGGAGCGTGTTTCAAATACACTGCTGTCCACAGAAAATGTTAGCTATAATTCTGAGATGTTTTCTCAAGCATGACAGTTAAAGCTTTGTCTTTTCTTACAAATGCAAGACGGTATTCTCCCAACCGCCTCCATTGCTCCGAGATGCCATTAAGGAACAGAGTGTGAAGCAGGCCAGGCCTGCAGCAGCGGCCACCCCCACCTCCCCCAGGGGCACATGATCCTCGGGGCACGACTGCCCAACCAGCCACCAGAGAATAATGCATCTCTGCCCAGCATCGACAAAGCACGGTGAGTCTTATCTCGAAGGAGAATACTCCAGTGACCACGGACGAGCTCAAGGATGCAGTACTGTAACTGATGTCCCAAGTCCTCAGAACCGTGACACACGTACTAGCGGGTAACTCAAAGCCCATGCAGGCGGAGGCCGTCTGGGGTTAGTGGCTGTCCTTACCGTTGCCCAGGTGGGAACAAGGTCGCATTTGTTAAGTACGAAAATGAGGTGTTTCCAAGGTTTCTCCTTTTTCAAGTAAGCCTCGATGTGAGGGGAACGGGTACCCATCGGATCTCGAGCATCGAGAACTTGAACTACAACATCTGATGAATCGATCACCTGCAAATTTCAAGAGGCAAGAACAGTTCCCCGAAGTCTAAGCATGAGAAAGTGACATACATGCAAGAGCATCCGGGAGAAAATAAACTACTGCTGTTTAAAGACAACCTCAGGACAGCCTTCTGAGAACAGGCTGGAGCCACTCTCAACGACCCATGGTCAGAATTCCAAAGCTGTTTAATCCTGTGAGTATTTGAAGCTTGTGCAATTTCCAAAGGAAACTAGTTTAGATGAACCCAATCTATTTCATAATTACTATGGATTATAGAACCTAAACATTCACTTCTTAAGACTCCTATGATTTTTTTAAAGGATTACTTTTATTTGTTGCTGTTAATTTGACCAGAGAGAGAAAGACAAAGTTAGAAGGCAAGCTGCCAGGTCCGGGAGCAGACCTGTGGTCAGCTACATGGGAGCCCAGCACCTTAACCACTGCTCCACCTCCTGGCCCCAAGACTCCTATAATTGTTTTCACTACTGTAAGTCTTCTGTAAGATACAATGACTTCCTACTATGTTACTGTTCCAATGTGACTATGTTTGAAGGTCTTTCTTCCCAAGAAAATTATTAGTGCAAGGACATAGGTAACCTGAGCCCGTTGAAGAGCACTGGCTCAGGAGTCGGGACATACAAAGCCTCTTCTCCGAACAAGGTGGGTGAGCTGGGTGAGGGGCTAAACCTCCTGGACGTAGGGTCTCTTCTGTAAAACAAGCTGGCTAGACTAACTTACAGTGTCTCATGTGGTTCTAAGAGGATATGCTAAATCTAAACAGGAAT